CTACCGCCCAATCAGTCTAACATCAATTAGGGCATGGTTACGGGACAGGAAACAGCGAGTGAGCATTAACGGCACTAAGTTCCATTGGAGCAACGTCACAAGTGGAGTTCGCCAAGGCTTAGTACTTGGACCATTATTATTTATTATATACATAAACGACATAGATATCGGCATAGACAGCAACATAAGTAAATTTGCTGATGACACTAAAATAGGACGTGTTATTAAATCTGATGAGGACTCAGCAAAACTACAGGAAGACCTAAACAAATTTTTCGAATGGTCTGAAAAATGGCAGATGAAATTCAACTTGGACAAATGTAAAGTACTCAGTATAGGAGATGTAAACAGGGAAACCAGATACCAGATGAACAACGATGCCATAGAGAAATCCGACTGCGAGAGAGATTTAGGAGTAATGATAAGTAGGAACCTTAAGCCAAGTAAACAATGTGTTTTTGCTCGTAACAAGGCTAATAAAGTACTTGGAATCATACAAAGGAGTGTTAGTTACAAGACTAGCGAGGTCATCCTAAATCTGTATCCTGCTCTTGTGAGACCACACCTGGATTACACAGTTCAGTTCTGGACACCGTATTACAGAATGGATATAGAATCATTGGAAAGAATTCAGAGAAGAATGACAAGACTAATCCCGGGTATTAGGAACCTTGAGTATAGAGACAGGTTAAAGCATCTTAATTTGCACTCCCTCGAGAGACGTAGAGCGAGGGGCGTCTTGATAGACGTGTATAAGTGGAAGTCAGGGCTAAACAAAGGGGACATTACAAAGGTACTCAAACTATCCAACCAGGAGCGAACTCGTAACAATGGTTTTAAATTAGACAAATTTAGATTTAGGCGTGAAATAGGTAAACACTGGTTTGGAAACAGAGTAGTGGATGAATGGAACAAGTTACCAAATATCATCATTAACTCGAATACTCTGAATAGCAATAGGGGTTGGGTGTAAACGGGACTGCCGAGTATGGGCCAATAGGCCCGCTGCAGTTTCCTCCATTCTTATGTTCTTATGTTCTTATACGCCGCTGCTCTAGCTCATAAACAGAGTTAATAAAGTGGCTATCAGACCAGCAACACATACCTGGGCTACATGTAGTACGGTTTTCGGGGAATAAACTAAGGGGGTAGTTATGGGAATGGGTGGGTGGGGTTCAACTCGAGTATTTTGGCCGTAGAAATGCGAGTAATTCGGACCAACTATGGGACCATCCCTGGACTAACTAGGAAAAACGTCTCGAAGGCAGATATTTAGGGGTTTTTTTTTTGGGGGGGGGGGTCATTATGTGTGAATGAATAAACTAAATGCAAAAATAATTGCATTTTCATTTTTTTATTGTCCAAGAACATGTCATAACGTCCTTCGATATTCCAACGTATTGTGCTTAAATGAGTCAGCAAAATTAATTCATTTTCTTCCATTTTTTCAAGAATTTGAGTTATAACATGACAATGATATCACTCGCTCATTATCACGTATGTATCTGTCTTCCTTACATGCAAAACTTAATAATGGAGTTACGTTAATGATCTTTGGTAACTTGTTTTATCGTATTCGCCTTCAACTTTATTTCCTAACTAATATCTATTTTCTTCTTAAACATAAATTTATCTCATGTAAATCTATTGCTACTAGTTCTGCCGTGTTTCGATGGTTTATGTGTCTTATACATCATATCTTACCTTTGCATAAACTTAGCTGACGTGAGGTCCGTGGGCCATCAAGCAATTTCGATGCAAGTTATACGATTGGATGATATCCCAAACGCAGACTTATGTTTACAGAGTGGGAACTGGGACTGAATGTATATGTTAGATTTCCAAGCGCCCTTTTAACTGGCAAGGCAGGGTCGCTTTTCCCTGAGGTAATAAAAAATTACTCTCCCCACTGAAAAAAAAGCAAGCTATTGATTTAATAAATAAGTTTATCTTTACATCAAATTGTTGACTTGTTGTACACCGCCAGATTACTGTGGAATTCAATCTGGTTTCAAGGGAAGAAATCCTCTAGCACCCATTCCCTGCTAACCCTTCGGCCTATGTCTCTCAGAACCATCTAAGCTAAAGAAGTATATTTATTTGCGATTCATATTATACGTCATATTCTCAGCACAAAGCCTCATCAAGTGGAGGTGGAGGAGTTTATGGAACCCATCCATCCATCCATCCATCCATCCATCCATCCATCTCTCCTTCAGTTTGTCCCTATTCTTATAACAACTCATGTTAGACAGATACGCGCATTTAGTCATTATCTTCATATTAGTTTCCTTTTTATCTTCTATGAACATAAAACAGGATATATACAGTAAATATAGTCGATTAATTCCCTCGCTGGCCACTCCTTTTCTTCTTCCTCCAGATACACTTTCAACTCCGTCTACAATATACTGGTTGTTATTTTACCGCCTCAAATTTATACTTGTCAAACATAAGGTAAACTTCGCCACTGCTCACGGTGTCGTCCAGACGTCAAGACGACCAGAAGTAACAAAACTTTCTTTGTGTTCATCATTAACTGTAAATAACTTGTGCTGTGACTCTACCTACTGACCAGATCTTAAATTTTTCCACCTAGCATATTTGTTGCGTTGATTTTACAGAATAAAGACGTGAGATTTCTAAATTTTGTCCTAGTTGAGGGTAGAGCAGAGCAAGGATCATACTGTTTACAGTCCTTGGAACAAAGGGAGGTGCTGAGGTCCGACTGTCTACTAGGACAAACTTCCTCTCAAAACCATAAATTAGTTATTAATTTTTATTGCACGTACATAGAACTTCTATATAGTCTGATCTTTCTTTCGGTTTTAGTTAGTAACTTTTTATTTCTTGAAAAACACGTTTTTTCTCTTTTGGAAAAACAGACAAAATGGACAATTGGTAAATAACTTATTCAATAACGACGTATTATGAAACTGTTGTATACCTGGTGAATTATGATTTATTATTTTATAAGCGGAGTAATGTTGTGTTACATGATGGTAACACTCGACCATCACTAACACATTATCCTCATGTGCCTGTGTTCATCACTACCGCACTCACGTTAACTTGTTATTGTTTAACTCTTGGCAAGTTAGAAACTGTATTCTTTCTGTTGTATTATAAAAAAGTAATAAATTTTACAGTTTATTCCTGAAAAAAAATCTGTGGAAGACCTGAAGCGACGAAAAAATAAACTAAGTTTATCTAGCCCGAATTTGTTTAAAAAAAATTATCATCTTAATTATATTACAAACTAAGGAATAGCTGTATTAATATTCTTTCTTTATCTAGCCCTGTACTTTTATTACAATTGAAAAGTTATGATTATTATAACGCGTATGTTGCAACATCAATCAGCTTGTCGTGGTTAATATATTATGTGTTGTTATGAATGCACAGACAATAAATATTAGGGACGATTCATTAATAATTATACCAGGTCAAGTATTTATAACGTTCGCATAAGCATTTTTTGGGAGGGTTGGAGGAGCCAGGCCCACAGTGATGGCTGGTGACCCACTGAGTCACCTTCACCAGGGGTTCCTGTCTCGAGTCTGTGTTGTCCAATTTCATCTGCTTTGTTAGTTTAGCATTCGGAAAAATCGCATTTTTCGTGTATAGTTTTACTCTTGTTTATACGGTATTGTTTAAATTAATAGAAGTAAACAACATAAACATTCTACACATTGAAGTACACTCTTCAAGTATTGGAGACACTATAGCTGGGAACACTGACAAGTACAGCGGTGTGTGTGTGTGTGTGTTTGTGTGTGCGTGTGTGAAGGAAAACTTCATACTATATGAGTGTTACCCCTAATACATCTATTGTTACACGGGACTAAGCTACGTCAGGAGAATAAATATAAATGGTGCTCCGTGAGGATGATCAGTGATAGTTGAGGTGTTACTTAATAGAAGACGACAACCTATGGGAGCTTTGAGTCATATGAGTGCCGGGAGGTGGTGGTGTGTCGTCAGGAGGTTATGGTGCTCGTGTGTCGTCAGGAGGTTGAGGTGCTGGTGTGTCGTCAGGAGGTTGAGGTGCTGGTGTGTCGTCAGGAGGTTGAGGTGCTGGTGTGTCGTCAGGAGGTTGAGGTGCTGGTGTGTCATCAGGAGGTTGAGGTGCTGGTGTGTCGTCAGGAGGTTGAGGTGCTGGTGTGTCGTCAGGAGGTTGAGGTGCTCGTGTGTCGTCAGGAGGTTGAGGTGCTGGTGTATCGTCAAGAGATTGAGGTGCTGGTGTGTCGTCAGGAGGTTGAGGTGCTGGTGTATCGTCAGGAGGTTGAGGTGCTGGTGTGTCATCAGGAGGTTATGGTGCTGTCGTCAGGAGGTTGAGGTGCTGGTGTGTCGTCAGGAGGTTGAGGTGCTCGTGTGTCATCAGGAGGTTGAGGTGCTGTGTGTCGTCAGGAGGTTGAGTGTCTCGTGTGTCGTCAGGAGGTTGAGGTGCTGGTGTGTCGTCAGGAGGTTGAGGTGCTCGTGTGTCGTCAGGAGGTTGAGGTGCTGGTGTGTCGTCAGGAGGTTGAGGTGCTGGTGTGTCGTCAGGAGGTTGAGGTGCTGGTGTGTCGTCAGGAGGTCAGTAAAGAAGGTGTCTGAACACTAAGAGAAAACAACACAACACGAATGACCGCGAGTAAACTGGACAATTTGAAGAGAAAGTGAAAATGGAGACCAACTGACAGGAGGGACACTGGCAGGTCCCTCACTCAACACTGTCACGCCTCCACCTCACACAGTTCTTCTTATACATAATACACTATACACTCTACACATTATATTAGCTTACAATAAGCAAACACAGTGATACGGTAGTCATTATTGCGTCTTGCCCCTATGAGTAAACTCGAATGTGTTACAACTCAGCTGTAGTCATTATTGGGAAGTAAAACCTCACATATAGTACAGTATAGTAGGTGTTACCACCATCCTCATATGGTTTATACGGCACCCTGGTCTTCATGGCCTAAGTTAAGTGAAAAACTGGAAAAATAAAGTCGGTGTAGAAATAATGTACCAATTTATTGGCCGGGGAAGTTTGAGCTTACTGGCCAGTGTATCAACAGAGGGTGTTCAGCTGTCCCCTGGCCACACAGCCTTACAGAAGGGCACACAAATGCACTTCAGGTTTCACAGAGTAAAAATAAAATATTTCTATTCAGTCGCCCAACTTTCTGTGTTCATTATAGTTGTAAACACACCAGCTGGAGTGTACACAATACTGTCATGGTACAAAAAGTTTATGGCTGGCGTGAGCTCTCTCCTACAGTGATCACATGTCACAGGTGCCGGGAGTTTGATCTTCACATGGATTATAAAATAAATTAATGAGATTATCTAGACTGAATATGAAGAAACAGAGTTGTATTAGTGATGGTCCTCTCCTGAGGAAACACACCCACCCGCCGTCACAAACTTCACAACGGTTCATGCAGTTTTTCCACGGTGATTATTTGTCCTCTCTAATAACCTGAGCCACAGTATTATGTATTAAACTGTTAGGTAGCTGAGCTCTGCAACAGAAACTATTTCAAATATAATAAAGACTTCATGAAAGCATCAATAACTAATATGTGTCATCCTGGGGGATTTAAATTTACAGTGTAGAGTCGTGTATACAAAAGCTACAGTAATCATCTCTATATAGCAAACAACTAAAATGACACCGATGTATCAAGACCAGGAAGGCACCTTAACTTACTGAGAATAATGACGTCTTACATCTCGTTGTGACGTAATATACCAGTTGTGACGTCAACAGCACCTACCTTAGCTGTATATACTGTATACAGTATATGAATGAATAAAGAACTGACTCAAAAACCGGAGTTAATTTTCAATATATTGATGAACCGTGGCGAGGGTTGGGTGACTGTCAGGCGTGAACCTAGAGTAAACACAATTACACTTTTACATATTTGCCTTATTTCTTCATCTTCAGTCAAGGTGTTAAAAGACGTATTGCGATAAAACTTCCCAGCACATTGACAGCTTGATCATTAAGTAACTACATTTAATCATATTTGGTGGAAGATTAGTTGCACTTTTGATTGTTTGTGATACAGCAACACATGTGAACGTAACACAGCTGTCACCATCTACCAGTTCTTCCACGGTAAGAAACGTCCTCACACCAGCCGCACAAACAAACTCCTCCGCACGAAACTTGATTCTGGACAAGTAATTATCTGATTGATCTGCCTACTTATGGCTAGCATTCTTTAACTAGAAGAAGGTTGCTGTGCGGATGTGAGTATATATCAAGGTAAGTAAGTCTGTCAGTAGCGTCTGCCTTCATATAAGAAATGTATTACAAAATCTCTGTAGTTATCATCTAGTTTTAAATTAGATCCTAAAATTAAAAATCTCCAATAAGAATGAGGTCATTGTCCTGGTAAATAGCTTAAAGTTAACTGGCGAAGATTTAACTTAGACCATTGTTTGGATGATGAGCTAGTTGGTTTTCCTTAGCTGGCCTTCCCTAATTGGCCTTTTCTAGTTGGCCTTCCCTAGCTGGCCTTCCCTAGCTGGTCTACTCCAGCTGGCCTTCCCCAACTCGTGGTCTAAGTCATTTGTAGTAGGAACTGTTGAGTCAAATACTGAGTGATCGACTTCATGTCATTATAACAACACCAGACATTATCGTCGTAAAAGCCGATACTTTTCCCGGTAAACACAGTCACTCACAAAGCCTTAATGGATCTTGTACTGTAATATATTATGAAGAAAGTGACAGAGATAAGCTTCCCCTGTGTCGGTTAAAACTTGGACATAGGAAAACTCAGTGTTGACTGATTTCATCCTTAAAATATCTTTGATGATGTCAGAAAAGCCTACTGGCTATGACACAACCGCCAGAGGAGACACTAACTTGTGCCTCGTATGAGAGTGGTAGACTTGTGATTAATGGCGGGGCAATAGCAAGGTAAATTGTGTGTGTGTGTGTGTGTGTGTGTGCGAGCGCTTTACCAACACTATCAACAGGAACCAAAAGCACCCATTGGGAAAAGACAATAAATTGGTTAGATAGAATCGTTGTATACAGACACAGGTATAAGTCCAACATAAGCCACGTGTACAGTTTCCACATAAACCCTAAAAGAGATATAAATATAAAATTAAGGGAGTGATTTTGTAGATGTAGCGTCGACTGAGAAAAGAATGAGGGGGAGGAGTTGTTCAGTCATCCGGATTCTCAGTCCAACGTCTATGCACGGCAGCGTATAGGACAACGAAGGCATAGAGCGTCACCCCAGCAATCACTACCAAGATGCATGCGAACACCACGCTCAGGAAGCCTTCATCTATACCTGGAAAACAGGCCAATGAGGTGGATTCCTTTAACACGTAAATTAAATAGTTTCTTTACAACACACCAATCCAAGTACAGTGCTATTCTCAGCTCACGTACCCCTAATCTACGTACTCCTCATTTTCATACCCCAATTCACGCACAGCAAGTACACATACCTCCAATTCACGTGCTCCTAGTTTAAGTACCAAAGATCACGTACTCTTAGCACCCGTACCCACAGATCACATACTCTTAGCACCCGTACCCCCAGATCACATACTCCTAGCACCCGTACCCCCAGATCACTTACTCACCCGTACCCCCAGACTCCTAGCATCGCAGATTTACTCTAGCACCTGTACCCCCAGATCACATACTCTGCTTGCTCTTACCACCCGTACCCCAGATCCCACATACTCCCTAGCACCCTTGCCCCCAGATTACATACTCTTAGCACCTGTGCCCCCAGATCACTCCTTACTTTTGGCACCCCCAGATCACATACTCCTAGCACCCCATGCCCCCAGATCACGCTGCTCATAGCACCTGTGCCCCCAAGATCTCTCTTTCCTTTTCCCATGCCCCCAGATCCCTCACGCCTCTTACTTCCCGTACCCCAGATCACATGCTCTAACAGCCGTGCCCCAGATTATACTCTTAGCACCTGTCCCTGAATCTGTCTCTTAGCACCGTACCCCAGATCACATGCTCCTAGCATATTGCCCCAGGTCATACTCTTAGCACCGTACCCCCAGATCACATCTCCCCTGCTTTTTACACCCTAGATTACATACTCTCAGCACCCGTCCCCCTCAGATCACATACTCCTACCACCTGTACCCCCAGATTACATACTCCTAGCACCCGTACCCCCAGATCAGACACTCTTAGCACCCGTTTCCCCAGATCAGATACTCTTAGCACCAGATCACGTACTCCTAGCGCACGTACCACGACACGTACCGGATTTCTTGGTAGCGGCACGTTCGTTGACCATCGCCTTCATTTGTCTCAGTCTCTCTCTCAGCTCCTCCACGTTCTCCTCGCCATCCTCGTCGCCCAAACCTGCAACACACCTAAGCATTAGTTATTTCTACACCTGCAACACACCTGAACAGTCGTCCGTACACCTGTAACACACCTGGGCATTAGTTATTTTTACACCTGCAACACACCTGAGTGCTCGTTACTTCTATATCTGCAACACACCTGAGTGCTAGTTACTTCTGCACCTGCAACACACCTGAGCACTAGTTATTTCTACACCTGAACAGTCATCCGTACACCTATAACACACCTGGGCATTAGTTAATTCTACACCTGCAACACACCTGAACAGTCATCCCTACACCTGCAAAACACCTGACCAAAATTATATCTAGACCTGAACAGCATACCTATCAGATACATACTGAATATCAATCCCTAACATCTAAAAATCTGTAAACTAATTGTAAACTAGATTCTTGATGCAAACTCCAACTCTGGCTGTAAATTTCAATGTAGAGTTTAACATAAGGAATAAATTTCTACCTGTAAACTACTCGGCTTAAGATAATACTTTAGATGTAAACTATTAGACAAGATAAAGGTTTACTTGTATGCAATTGCGGATAAGTTTTCGGCTACTGTTAAGTATTAAAATTAAAGGGAACACCTATAACCCCACATGTGAGACATAGGTGGGAGTAAACTGTATACAGATGGTGAAAACTGTTTACAGGTGGGTTTAAACTGTATACAGCTGGGAGCAAACTGACCTGTGTAAATGGAGTGGGCGGCTGGTCGACTCCGAACTCCATCTGGAGCCTCCATGATGTCCTGAGGAGATGAGAGCATCGTTATTTATCGTTACTCCTCGTTAATCATCGTCAATTGTAATGAGACAAAACTCACAAGAAGAGAATTACATATATAGGTAGGAAGTATAGAGAGTAGGAATGTAAAGATAGGAAACTTGGTAGCGTGGCCTGGATGTTATTTGCACAGCGTCACTACGCTTATCTTATCTCGTATGTCAATACACGTATATTACTTCTTAAAGGGACAACTTGTTAAACACCTCTTCGATACAACTATTTATTAATTCACTCAATGACATGGACACATTAATATCACTATTATATCGGGGTACTAACACATTATGTTTTACGTTACTTGACACTGACTCTCGGACACACCTGAATGAATACACTTCCCACAGTAGGTAACTCACCCTAGGACGTTCTGACAAGACTCACGTGTACCCTGACGTAGGCCCAGTGAGTGCTGGCTGGGCTGCCTCCTATGGGAGAGTCTGCTTAGCTGGCGATGCCGTGGTCTGGTCGGGAGGTCTCCCTCCCGACCTGGGGAGGGGACGTGCGTGACTCTGCTTAGTGAACCGAGTGACGACCCGAACGGGAGAGAGATGACAGCAACCAGAATGAGAATCAGTATGACCAGGATCAGAATGATAATCGTAATGGAATGCCCGTGGACGGGACTGTAGGGCCTTTATATGGGGTCGGCCCAGCCGGCTTCTGACCTCTAACAATTAACACTAAACTGGTTTGATCTGAATAGTTGTGTGCAGGTGTGGTCCTGGCCAGGTGTCTTGGCTAGGTGCGGTTGTAGGTCACCGGCTCACGTCATTAGCGGGCGAGGTCAAGTCCCTTGGGTCGACCTGAGGTGTGTCAACCCGGAATGTGGTGGTACCACGAGGTCTGTGGTGTACTTGCTGTTATATGTGACATAATTCTGGGCTGAAAGCTTTGGTCTGACAATCAATCATTACACAATCATCGTGAAACATCGTTATTCTTTGTTAAACATCGTTATTCTTTGTTAAACATCGTTATTTATCGTTTTACGTTGTTATTCGTCGTTAAGCATTGCCCTGTGTCGTTACCTATCGATATTCTTTGTTAAACATCGTTACTCATCGTCAATCATCGCCATTCATCGTTAAACATCGTTATTCATTATTAAATATAATTATTCGCCAATGTGGGGTATATCCTACCCCAGTCAGCTGGATGGATCTGAAGTTCTCGCGGTTCCTTCATGACTCCGAGCTTGGGTCCCCCTTGTATCCTCAGGCCTCAGTGCTTGCCGAGACCTCACAGAGTAAGGGTGCGTCGCGTTGATATCTAATCCCGCCTTTGTGTGTTAGAGAGGTGCTGTGAAGTTGCGTGACACTTTTGAAATACGGTTTTTATCACTTGTGTTATCTTTTTCTTTCAGAAAAACAAACTAAAATATATCCAAAATGTCTAAAAAAAATTATGTCTCAGGAGGAAATTGACAAGATAATGAACAAAAGCAGCAGTGACGATGATTACAGTGAGAGTGTTGAAGCAGAGGAAATGTTTGATAGTGAGAACAATGAAGACTATTTCCCAAACCCATATGAGAGTGATTCCAGTGTTTATTTATATGGGGACTCCTACAGTGTAAATGTAAATTGACAATTTTTGACCTCTAAATTTATGCTGTATTTGTCATTCTGTCCTACAAATCATGGTGATGCAAGCAAGTTACATGTCTGGGGAATGTGTACCAGCAGTGTTAAGCTCCTAGCCACATAGTAGAGCGGATAATGGAAAAATCGTGCAAATGGTGATACAAGCATGAAATTTGGCATGATCATACCCTCGGGGCTACTTGTCAAATCTGCCTGATTGGCTATTTGGAAATCCAAGATGGCGGCCATTTTTCAAGATGGCTGCCAAATTGACCTTCGAAAGATGATTTTTTTTTAGAAATTGATGTAGTTGGTCAATCTAAATGATATTAGTGTCGATATGTATGTTTTCAAGCATGCTCAGATGATTTTTTTCTATTTCTGATACTCTCAGATGTATATTTGTCTTATTTATGACTGGTTTTATGTATTAGTTTTATGTTTTTCCAACTAGGTGAGGGTAGCAAGCAGAGGTCTCTGCACACTGGTGACATCACTGCTGTGCAACCCAGCATGGGGTTCAGTGTCAGCTAAGAAAAAGCATGTCATACTGCTCCAGCTTAGTGTCCCAAATGCTGTTTAACTAACCCCAAATCAGTTAAGCAGCCGCACCTGAATTGAGAGGATGTGCCAGCGGGAAGCCGAGCCAAGGATAATGGGGTTTTATTTATATGGATGGTGTACAGATCGCACGGGACTAATGACACTGGATGAACGATCAGACTAGATGTAGGGCAAAAGGCATGAACCTTGTTGTATCCCAAACAAGAAAGTGCTCATCAGGGCGGTAAAAGGATAAACCCTCGGCCCTGAAGATAAAAAATAGTTATGGACACAAAATCTACCAACAAATCATTCTTCACTGACTGGGCAAAGTGTTGTCTTTGTCAACAGGATAAGAAGGAAGATCTTAAGTCTCCACATGCAAATCCTGCCAAGAAAGGAGATGACGGTTACAAGAGCTTGGCAAGGAATATTCCTCTATTTCATTCAATCAATGCACTGCCAATCAAGCTTCACCCCGCAAGATTTGTTGAAGAATATGGGATAGAGGAGACCTTGAGGAGAAACAAGGCACAGTATCATGAGAATTATTCTTAGAGGGACTAAAGAGTGAAGGTAAATGTCTGTTCTACCATCCAATCAAGAAAAACAGATCCTCCTTCTTCAAACATGACCACGTTGTTAGCAGTTCCAAAGAGAAGGATGACTGTCAGCTGTTCTCGCGAATCCAGGCAAAAAAGTCACGGGAAAAAAGTCGATGAAAAAGTCACAGAAAAAACGTCACAGAAAAAACGTCACAGGAAAAATCTCGCCCCACACCTATGGAATGTGCAACAACAATGCTCATACCAACAACATTTGTGAAGGGTGGAATAATAAGTTCTTCAACCTCGTCGGTCACTACCATCCCTCAATCTGGCGTCATTGAATGGTTTCAGCTTGAAGAAGCGACAGTGAACAGCATTATCACAGAATGCTGTTGGCAATCCACCTCAAAGAAGAGTTCGTCAACGCTATGTGCAGCTACAAGAACGCCTTCACAGCTTATGTGTTGCTCGACTGGAGGATCACAAGACTGTAACAGATTTTCTTCGTGGCGTCAGAAGGAATATTCGTCTTAATCATCAACACTAAATATACATGTAATGCCATGCTGTTGTGTAAGTTGTTTTCAACATGTACATGTGATGTCAGTACTTCAATAAATGACTATTTTAAAGGTTTTTAATAAACTCTGATTTTTTCGAGTATTTATAATGCTATGACATTATGTATGTTGTTTTCAATGTATACATGTTATATATTGCCAATAAACGACTGGCATAAATGTTTTTGTTTCATTGCCTTGTAGTGTCAGTTAATAAGCGACTTAAAATACTATTTGTTTAATTACTTTAATTAGTATCTATGGTGTTTAATGGAAATGTGACTTTTTTTCCTGTGACTTTTTTCCTGTGACTTTATTACCGGTCACCGTTCTCGCAACTCTTCATCTCCAGTCAGAACAGACAGTATGACTTGTAAGAATTCTTCAAGCATGAGAACCAGTCAGCTCCTGCCTCCCTCAGTGACAATGGCAAGCTTCATGCTTGTCAGAAGTCACAGCTGGCTGAAATTCTTCAAGCACAAGTGAATGCTACAGAGAACCACATGGAGATGCTATCATCATAGATGGCTCAGCACTGATCAATGCCCTGCCTCCACGCACCTCAAAGACTTTTGATGCCTATGCCAAAGAAGACATCCTGCCCAAAGTGGAATTCTATGGTGCCAAATACAATAGGGTGGATGTAGTGTTTGATGTACAAAAAGTCAAGTCTGAAGTCTGAAGCCAGGTCGAAACGAGGACAGGGATCAGGAGAAGAGGCTGGGAACCAGTAAGACCCAAAAACTGTAGAAGCTTTCTGCGAGATGACAAAACAAGACAGAACTATTCCATTTTCTCGAGGAGAAAATGTGTGAAGCACAAACGACAAGCACGGTGGTTGTGACAAAGGGAGGAGATGCCATTAGCAACACAGAGAAGGCCCTAGAAGCTGTGGCTCCATGCTGTCATGAGGAAGCAGACACACGAATATTTGTGCATGCTAGGGATGCAGCAATGGAAGGTAGCAAGTCCCTCATCATATCAGTATCTGTACTGCCATCACTACAGGAACTTGGTCTTAATAACATGTGGATTGCGATAGGGCCTAAGAAAGCTAGTGGGATCCTATACTTTCATGCTTTCACTGGCTGTGACGTTGTGTCTGGCTTCCGTGGGAAAGGAAAGAAATCTGCATGGCAGACATGTACGACAGATCTAGTGCAGCCACTGGTGTAGAGGAGACAAGTGTTACGAGTGAGCGTTTTATCGTTGGTTGTGGATTCGCAACGTGAACGTCTTTTGTCTGTGACGTCATTTCAGCCCACCTCTGCTCGCTCTGTTTAACTCCCAAGCCGGGTGACGCCAGTATTGGGCTGGCAGTCATAAGTTAAGTATCTCCTCTCCTATTGTACAGTATATTTCTAGTGGTATAACTTGTAAACCTTGCTCGACTCTTAGAACACCAAGTAATACTTGTGAAAGATTATGGTTAATCATATTTTTAGAGTTCCACGGAAAACATCTTGCTTATTTATGAGGTTTCATGTGGTAGATAGACCACGTTGTTCATGGTAGTTTCTAGACTAAATAGGTCTTTACTTTTATGTTCATTATTTTGTCACTCGGTTGAGTCACTTATTTGATCAGATTTAGTTTGTATTTGCTTACTTTTGTACATACTGATATATTTGTTTTATTGTTTGTTTGTTTGTTAATATATTCTGTAATTAAATTTGCTCTGTGTATTTCAATATACCCCATAGTAATGAGGTGATGATTTTGGTGGGATCTATTCCTTGGACCTATAATACATAGAGAAGTTGAATTTGTAAT